CGCGCCGAGATCCGCCGCCCGCGCTCTGACCCCGCCCCCGCCGACGCCGTGCGCTTTGAGCCCGCCGGAGGGGGCGCGGCTTCGTGGCCACGCCCACCACAAAGCCCGACCACGCCCTCGGGTGCCGCTTGGACCACGGGAAGCCCCGCCCAGGTATCCGTCGCACCCAATCACGAAATCCCATAGGTCTTTGAGTTGTGAGGCCCTGCCCCCTCGACCCCGCTCGTCCTGAGAAGGGCGGGGCCTGGGCGGGGCCTGGCTCCTGCTGACAGCGCCTCGCTGGAGGCGCCACTCAGCCCCTGGCGCCTCCCACTGGCGGAAGGAAAGAAAAACAGCCTTTAGGAAGCAGGTATCCAGACTGGGAAACCCACCTTGGGACAAGGGGACAATGACAAGCTTCTTTAAGGGTCAAGTGTGGCAGGAGCCATTCTGGCTCCAGGAACTGGAGTGGGTGGGAAAGCCAAAGGCGACAGGATGGTTTTTCCAGGGGCTAGACACGTAGCTCAGTGGGAAAGGGCCCGTTTAACTTGTGTGAGGCCCTGGGTTCAATCCCCAGCACCCAAACCAACCAAGCAAATGTTAAAAAAGGTTGGTGGGTGCTGGGGGCGGCACGCGCCTATAAAAGTAGCTGCTCAAGCGGCGGAGATCTGAGGATTGAGCTTCAAAGCCAGCCTAGGCAGGAAAGTCTGCGAGATTCTGATACCCAATTAACCAGCAAAAAGCTGGAAGTAGACATGTGACTCAAGTGGTACAGTGCCATCCTTGAGCAAAAAAAAGTCACGAGAAGCCAGGCTTTGGTGGCTTACGCCTGTCATCCTAGCTACTTAGGAGGCTGAGATCTGAGGTTCATGGTTCAAAGCCAGCCTGGGCAGGAAAGTCCGTGAGACTCTTATCTCCAATGAACCACCAGAAAACCAGAAGTGGCGCTGTGGCTCAAGTGGTAGAGTGTTCACCTTGAGCTGAAGAGCTCAGGGATAGCGCCCAGGCCCAGAGTTCAAGTCCCACAACTGACCAAAACAAAAAAGTCAATAGTAAGCACAAGGCCCTGAGTTTAAGCCTCAGTACTAGAACAAAAAACAAAGTTAGGATGGCAAAACATTCTTGTTATTGTTGTTGGTTGTGGGGCTCAAACTCAGGGCCTGAGTGCTGTCCCTGAGCTTTTCCACTCCAGGCTAGCACTCTACCACTTTAAGCTACAGAGCCATTTTTGGTTTTCTGGTGGTTTATTGGAGATAAGAGTCTCACGGACTTCCCTTCCCAGGCTGGCTTCAAAGCTCAATCCTCAGATCTCAGCCTCCTGAGTAGTTTAGGGTTATAGGCATGAGCCACCAGCACCCGGTTCCCAACGTGATATTTTTAAAGCAGAAATCACACTTCAGTTTTAGCATTCCAGTGGGCTCACACTGCACTTAAAATAACACTAAATTCCTTAAGACGGCACAACATTTAAGAAACTGGGTCAACCTCCCACTATTTGCACATTTCACTTGACTCACTCCGGCCACCTCGCTGTTCTTCCCATACGACAACATATTCCTGCCCCAGAACCTCTGAACTTGATGGTCCCGCTGCTAAAAATGCTCTTCTCCCATCCGGGCCCTGGTGGCTCACGCCTGTCATCCTAGCTACTCAGGAAGATGAGATCTGAGGATCACGGTTCAAAGCCAACCCTGGGCAGGAAAAGTCCGGGAGATTCTTATCTCCAATAAACCACCAGAAAACTGGAAGTGGTGCTGTGGCTCAAGTGGTAGACCACTCGCCATAAGCACACAGTCTCAGAAACAGACTTTTTCACTTCTCTTGGTGTAGACACTACCTCTTCCAAGGGGGCTTCCCTGACTGCCTGTCTAAAACAGTCATCCCTACATCCATCTGTATCTCACACCAGTTCCGGACCCAGCCAGCTTCATTACTTTCTCCATAGCACCCACTGACATTATAATGTATCTTATTAATTGTTTTGGTGCCAGTCCTAGGGCCTGATTGCAGGGCCTGGGCACTGTCCCTAAGCTTTTTGACTCAAGGCTGGCATTCTACCACTTGAGCCCCAACTCCATGTCTAGCTTTTGGTGTTAACTGCTGATGCTTTGAATCAGGATCCTCAGATCGCAGCCTCCTGAGTAGCTAGGATTATAGGCGTGAGCCACCAGTGCCTGGCTCCATGAGACTCTTCAATAATCAGCAAAAAGCCAGAAGGAGAGGTCTGATTCAAGTGATAGAGCCACACAGCTTTGAGCAAACAAGCTAAACAACAACACCCAGGCCCTGAGTTCAAGCCCAGTACTGGTACACATCGCACGTATGTGCACGCGTGTGCGCACGCACACACACACACATACATACACACACACACATACATACACACACACACGAATAATCTACTCTATTGCTTTCTCTTTCCCTGCCTCTAACCCATTAGCCGCTTTCATTGAGATTCCTTAGATTGCTTATGCTGTCTTCATACACAGTTACAAAGTATCTTGAAAATATTTACTTTGGGAGGGGGAATTTTTGTTTGTGGGACTTGAACTCAGGGCCTAGGCATTATCTCTGAGCTCTTTTGCTCAAGGCGAGCGCTCTACCACTTTGAGCCACAGCGTCACTTCTGGTTTTCTGGTGGTTCATTGGAGATCAGAGTCTCATGGACTGGCTTTGAATCTATGATTCTCAAGGTATCAGTTTTCTGTGTAGCTAGGATGATAGGCATGAGCCACTAGCACTGGGCTGAAATTATTTACTCCTTGTCTTTTCCCTCTCTGTTTCCCCTCATTCCCCAAAACACAATTGCTTTGCCCCCTCTCCCTCAGTACTGGGTTTGAACTAGGAGTTCACATTTGCTAAAGCAGGTACCACTGACTCTTGAACGATCTCTCTAAACCCTTTCTGCTTTCAGTAATATTCATATAGTCTTGTATTCTTACCTAGGTCAGTCTGTGCCATGATTTTCCTATTTCCGCTTTCTCTGGAGCTGGGATGACAGGTACAAGCCAACATGCCCAGTTTTCACTTGTGGAGATGAGGTCTCTCATTTTGCTTGGGCTGGCCTCAAATTATGCTCTTCCCAAGTAGCTGGGATTACAGGCGTGATCCTCCATGCTCAGCCCTGTATTGTTTCTCTACCATCCTGTAAGAGCCGAGGATTGTCCCTCTTCCATGGGGCCTGAACAGGCCACATGCAAACGAACAGAAGAAGGAAGGAAGAATTGCAAAACGCAACAGCCAGTGAACAAAAGAAGAAGTGGCAGCCGCAGGTCCTTGTCCCCTTCAGCAGACAGAGCCTGGGATCCCTTCCCTGGGTCAATGAAAGGCTAATAAGGCCTGGGTGGAGCGGCCCATGGTCCCAGCCAGGCAGTGCTTGGGAGGAACAGGACCTAGACTTGGGCACAGTGCCCCCTGGCGGCCAGGGTTCCCAAAACTCCCGGGTGACTCTAGGGTCCTGGAGATTTCCGTCCAGGCCCTTCCTCACAAAAGAGGCTTCGTTTACTCCTGTTCTTTCTTTTTCTTTTCTTTGTCGGTCATGGAGCTTGAACTCAGGGCCTGAGTGCTGTCCCTCAGCTCTTTTTGCTCAGTTTAATGCTCTACCTCTTTGAGCCACAGCGCCTCTTCCAGTTTTCTGATAGTCAGTTGGAGATAAGACTCTCACAGACTTTCCTACCAGGGCTGGCTTTGAACTGTGATCCTTGGACCTCAGGCTCCTGAGTAGCATGATCCACCAATACCCGGCTTCTTTCCCTCCCCCACCCTTCCTTCCTTCCTTTTCTTCCTTTTTTTTTGGGGGGGGGGAGGGGTAGGTCATAGGGCTTGAACTCACGGCCTAGGTGCTTGCCCTGAGTTTTTGCTCAAGGCTTGCACTCTACCACTTGAGCTACAGCTCCACTTCTGGCTTTATTTTTTGGCAGTCAATTGAAGATGAGAGCCTCGTGGACTTCCCTGAGTAGCTAGGATTACAGGTGTGACCCACTGGCACCTAGCCACATTTAAAAAAAAATTTTTTTTTACTATGTATTAAAATTGCATCCAGGGCTGGGAAGGTGGCTCAGTGGTAGAGTGCTTGCCTTGCATGCATGAGGCCCTGGGTTCGATTGCACAGCACCACATAAGCAGAAAAAGCCAGAAGTGG